ATCACTTGTATTTTATTTTAGTTTTTTAAAGATGTTATTTATTTATTTACTTACTTGTTTATTTATTTATATAGGGGAAGGGAGGGAGATAGAGGGAGAGAAACAGCAATGTGTGGTTGCCTCCTGCGAGCTCCCTACCTGCGACCCAGCCCTGCAACCCAGGCATGTGCCCTAGACCGGAATTGAACCTGTGACTCCTTGATTTACAGGCTGCCACTTAACCACTGAGCCACACCAGCCTGGGTCATCATATGCATTTTAAAGAGAATAAAAGAAGATACGTATTTTTTAAAGCCAGACTTTTAAAAAAGGATTTTATTTATTTATTTTTAGAGAGAAGGGAAGAGAAGGAGAAAGAGAGAGAGAAATACCAATGTGTGGTTGCTTCTCGAGTGCCCCCCACTGGGGACCTGGCCTGAAACCTAGGCATGTGCCCTGACTAGGTATCAAACCAGTGATGCCTTGGTTCAAGCCTGCATTCAATCCCCTGAGCCATACCAGCCAGGGCTAAAGCCAGACTTTTATATTAATCAACAATAATTAGTTTCCTATGGTTGCTGTAACAAATTACCACAAACTTAGTGGTATAAAACAACACTTACCTAACAATTTTGGAGGTCAGGGGTCTTAAATGGGTCTCATTAGGCCAAAATCAAGGTGCAAGCAGGTTGCATTCTTTCCTGGAGGCTCTCTGGGAGAGTCTATTTCCTTGCATTTTTCAGCTTCTGGAGGCCATCTCCTCGCTGACACTGCCTTTGTTGCCTTCCTGGTCCACTTATAAGGACACCTGCGATTACATTGGGCCAGATAATCCAGGATAATCTCTCCATCTCAAGGTCAGCTGATTAGCTATTTTAATTTTCCTTTGCCATGTAACCTATTATATTCACAGATTCTGGAGATTAGGCCATGGACACCATTGACAGTCCATTATCCTGCCTACCACATGTGTATTTACGATTTCTGGTGATTTTCATTCCTTCCTGTTCATAATAGCTACATTACAATTCTTGTCTAATGTCAAATAACTCCACCTAAAGACATTCAGTGTCACTAGCAATTAGGAAATGCATATTAAAATCACAATGAGATATCACTTCACACATATCAGAATGACTGAAGTAAAAAAATAGTGGGTGGGTGGGTGGGGTAGGCAAAATGGATAAAGGGCCTCAAAAAGTACAAGCTTCCAGTTATAAAATCAATGAGTCCGGGGGAAGTAAGTTACGTACGGTATGGTGACTACATATGTATTGCATATGTGAGAGTTGCTAAAAGTAAATTTTAAAAGTTCACATCACATGAAAAAAAATTTTGTAACTATTAACTAAGATTTACTGTGGTGATCATTTCAAAATATATACAAATATAGAATCATGTTGTACACCTGAAACTATATGGGTCAATTATATATCAATTTAAAAAATTGTGACTCCACCAAATTTGTGAGGATGCAGAAAAACTGGATCACTCACACATTCCTGGTGGGACTGTAAAATGGGAAGCCACTCTGGAAAACAACTTGTTTGTTTTTTAAAAAATGAAACTTTCAATTACCCTGCACCCTAGCAATTGTACTCCTGGGCATTTATTCCAGAGAATGAAGACATGCTTACACAAATATCTGTACACCAATGCATAGAGCAATTTATAACAGCCAACACTGTAAACAACTCAAATGTCCTTCAACTGTGTGAATAGCTAAAGTTAAGCACATCCATACCATAAAATATTACTTAGCAATAAAAAGAAACATGTTGTAGGTAACTCTGCTTTTCTCTTGCTTCTTTTAAGATTCTCTCTTTACCTTTAAACTTTGGCATTTTAATTATGATGTGCCTTGGTGTGGTCTTGTTTGGGTCCATCTTGTTTGGGACTCTTCTGTGCTTCTTGGACTTGTATGTCTATTTACTTTACCAAATTAGGGAAGTTTTCTTTCATTATTTTTTCAATTAAATTTTCAATTTCTTGTTCTTTCTCTTCTCCTATGATTCTCACCCCTATGATTTAGATGTTTATATGTTTAAAGGTGTCCCATAGGCTCCTTAGCCTATCTTCATTTCTTTGAATTCTTTTTTCTTCTTGCTGTTTTGATTGAATGCTTTTTTCTTCCTTGAGTTCCAAATCACTGATTTCATTTTAGGCTCCATCCCTTCCACTTTACTCTATCCAGCAAAGATATCATTTAGAATTGAAGGGCAGAGAAAGTACTTCCCAGACAATATAAAACTAAAGTTCATCATCACCAAACCATGATTATATGAAATGATAAAGGGAATTATATAAGAAAAAGAAGATCAAAATGGTGAACATTAAAGTGGCAATAAATTCACAACTATCAATAATTGAATCTAACTAACATACTAAGCAAAGAAGCAGAACAGGAACAGGATCATAGATACAGAGATCATTTGGATGGTTATCAGTTGGGAGAGGAAAGGAGGAGAATGGGGGAAAAGGTGCAGAGATTAAGAAGCACAAATTGGTAGGTACAAAATAGGGGGATATTAAGAACAGTCTAGGAAATGGAGAAGCCAAAGCATGACCCATGGGCATAAACTAAGGGGAGGGAATTGTTGGAGAGAATGGGAGTATGGGTGGAGAGTGGCAAAGGAGGAAAAATTAGGACAACTAACAGCATAATCAATAAAATATATTTTATAAGAGAAACATGTTGAAACACATACAACAATCTGGCCAATTATACTGAGTGAAAAAAGCCGCTTTTAGAAAGGTACATACTATATGATTCCATTTATATAACATTCTTGAAATGAGAAAACTATAGAAATAGAGAACAGATTACTGGTTACAGGGATTAAAGAAGGGTTAGCAGTGGGAGAGAAGGGGTGTCTCTATTAAAGGGCTACATGAGAAATGTTTAGGTGGTGATGGAAACGTTCTGTATCTTGACTATTGTCAGTACCCTGGTGTGATGTACTACAATTTTGCAAGATGTTACCATTAGTGGAAATACGGTAAAGGGTATACAGGATCTCTTTGTATCATTTTTTATGGCTGCCTATAAATCTGCACATATCTCAAAAAATTAATTAAAAAGTTATTGCAATCTACCTTCCAAATAGTAATAGTTATCATCAGAGGCAGATTTACCATGAAGCTAAAGGTAAGCTTCAGGGGTCACTTGCACTGACCCTGGGAGTGCTGGAAGCTACTGGGGATTTCTAATCAGTGTTCTAACTGGGGAGAAGGCAGATGTGATGTGAAGCTTTTCTGATAAACTGCTTGAAGAGGTTTCAGAATAAAGGGACTAAATAGCCAAGATTCCATAGTGGATGTTGTTTTTCCCCTCATTTTAAGTATTAATATGGGTACCTAATGTTAGAGGGTCTCAATAAGTACTTACAAATGTTTCAAGCCCCACAAAACTCGGTTCTGCTCCTCCTTACCATATATAACATGGTACCTAGGAACAATGACTGGAGCTAAATTGCCTAAATTCAAATCCTTGCTTGTCCCACAAGGTATTAGCCTCTCTGAGTCTGTTTCTTCACCTATAAAATGGGGACAATAGTAAACTTCATTATAATTGTGAGCATTAAGTGAGTATCTAAGAAGCTTATAAATGCTTGGTAGTAAATGTTATATAGGGGGGACCCCAAAAAACCCTGGAATTATCTTCTGGAGGGTGGGGCCCTTTTAGTACAGGCTTACTCCTCTAGGTGGGTATTCTAGAAATCCATCTGTATCAGCGTACCAGCTGGCGTTGTTGTGAGAGGCTGTATTTGGCCTCAGTGATTTTTTTTTTAAACTCTCAACACTTTTGCCCATTTCATGATGGGCGATTTACAAGCACACCTGCCCACACCATGCTGAGTGTTTAGCAGTTTTTGACCAAAAATGGCATGACCACCATGCCCCACCCTCCCTATTGAACCTATCTTGCCACAGGTGACTTTTTTATTTGTTTCCCCGGGATGAAAACAGTCCTCAAAGGGAAACGATTTGCAGATATGGAAGAGGTGAAACAAAAAACGGCAGTAGCACTAAAAGGCATCAAAATCAAGGAGTTCAAACTGTTTTGAGCAGTGGAAAAACGTCTCAATAGGTGTATTGCATCGAATGGAGAGTACCTTTAAGGTGACTGAAGTTTAAATATGTAAGAATAACTACACAATTTTTAACAAATAGTTTTTTTCTGGGGCCCCCCTCTATATACCCTTATTATTATGGAGCACCTAAGTTGTGTCTAGCGCTATTTAAACGCATTAATTTACTTTTCAGAATGACTCTGTGGGGAAGGTAGTTAACATAATGCACATTTTAGATATGAAGTGAAGGTCTGCGAACGTGAGAATTCATTGTCTCAAAAAAAACTCAAGAAAACGTTTTTGCCAAGTAAAAGGCAGCTTCCTTTAAGACACCCAGACCAAAAGACAGGTCCGCTGGGGCTCTCACTGCCGGAGCAGACCAAATGACAACTCCATCCTTGTGGTTAACAGGTCTGACTCCAACCCCGGACCTCCGCTCCAGGTCGGGCTCAGGGGAGGAGCAGACCTGTGATGCCTTTTATAATCCTCAGCCTTCTGCAGACAGGTGGCAACTCCTTCGTGGTCCGGTTTACTGCAAACCACCTCTCGAGTTGATGTCGGGCAGCTCACCGGCCCAGGACAAACACGCCCCTGTACGACATCAGGAGACCGCTCGCAGGTTCAAAATCCCGACCTGGCCTGTTCGCCCCGCCCACCTCGCTCAACGGCTCCCGCCGCTGTTCGCTCCGCCCTCTCGCCTAAATCCCACCTCCCGGTAGTGTCGATTTGCCTCTTCAGCGGCAGAAGTTAGAGCACCCTCGGGGCGCATCACTAGGCCCGCCCCTTCCTTGGGTCTCGAGCGCCGAACACATTGAACGCAGCCAATGGGTGGTGTGGCGGCAGCACCGCGGGAAGTTCGATTGACCGGGCCTGGCGGGACCGGAGAGCCCTGGCGGCTGTTAACGCGCGCTTTGGGAAGACGAAGGTTAAGCCGCAGTGCTGGGACCGAATTCATCTTGGCCGTTTTTTTTTCCAGTTCCGCCTGGGGTTCTCCTTTCAAACCCGGGTCTCTTGATCGTCCTGCCTGGATCCCTGCTCGACCTCCCTTAGTCCGGGGCTGACATCTTCATTCTAGACAGGGGAAATTCCCTTTTTCCTGGTTCTGGCGCCTCTCCCTCCCCGGGCCTCTGGTTTTCATCCTAGCCTCCTCTCTCCTGGCTTGTGCTTACCCCTTCCTTTACGCCCACCTGGGACCATTATACCGACTCCACTCTGCCCAGCCTGGCACTCCAGCCATCGCCCCCCGCATCCCACACTCTGCTTGGATACTTCCTTTTGGCGTGCTCTCCGGCCTCAACCAACAGGCTACTCTCAAATTTGGGCCCCAACCCCAGTCACTGGCAGAATTCCCTCTATCCATGCTCCCTCTGTAATTAGCTGTGCTCTCGCCAATATAGCAGCCCGCTCTTTGCCATGCCCTGGTTCAACCTTTTCAGCTTGCTGGGTGCCTTTGACTTGTGGCTGATGGTTACCTGGGTCTAGCTAGGATGGTAAGTGTGGCTTAGAGGAGACTGGGTAGTCTCTACGTGGGTCTGATGGACTCAGGCCGCAAAGATTCCTGCCAGTGCTCAATTTCTTTTTTCTTTCAGAGAAGGAGCTTAGCTCCCAGCCAGTTGGCCAAGAGAAAACCTGAAGGTAGACCCTCGGATGATGAAGACTGGCAGCCTGGGGCAGTGGTGAGTACTCTGCCTTCGAGGGGATAGGAGAGGAAGGAGTGTTTGGGCAGAAAGGAGTCCTGGACTCAGTTTCTGGGGTTATATGGAACAAACCTGGTCACTTCCAGAAGCCTCTTTCAGTAAACTTTTAATGAGTGCTCACTATGTGTCAGACAGTGAACAAGATAAAATATTTGTCCCCAAGGTGCACACTAGAAGCTAATATAGACTCAATTTTCCTGGTAGGAAGGGGTATTCCAAAGCAAAAAAGCACATTGGGTTCTGGCCTTTGGCTGCCTTGGGAAAAAGTACTCCCCAACAGCAACTAGCAGGCTTCTCTTTTGCTTTTTGTCCTCTTACCCAATGTCACAGAGTAGTAGAGGGTGCTGGGCTTACCTCAGAGTCCAGAGCTCACTTAGGCTTAGACAGGAGGGGTGGTGCCCCTCCAGTCTCTGCTAATACTACAATATAGTATGTTCAACTTTGAACTGGCCCTGTGCTCTGCTTCCTCCTTGAGGCTTTCTGGGGCTAGCTGTAGGCAGGACCTGTGTAAACCAAAATCAACAGGACAATGTAGCATTTACTTCAGAGAGAGTGGTTCAAGAAGCTAGGGCTTGGCTGTTGGAACTTTGGAGGAAGAGATTACCTGAAGAAAGTCTAGAAGGCAGTTTTGGGCAGGGGTAGTATGTGAGTAAAAGCATGTAGAGAGAGGGAAGGGGCTTGGTGTTTCTATTTCAGGAGTGTCTTACAGGATCATTGAAGCTTCAAATACCTTGGCAAGCTGGTACAAGTGGGTTCTTGCCTGGTGTCTCACTGGACTTGTTCTATGGTTGCACCACTGGTATACAGGGGGCTCCTCTACCTGTAAGGGAGGCACATTGACTGTCCTTTGCCTCTTACAGGGGTCTCAGGCTTGAACTGGGCAGCACTTGGTACAGCTGAGTCATAAATGGTGCTGTCTGCTGCTGGTTGCTCCTGAAAATGTTTTTGGTGCTGGGATCTTCATTGCCATGATATGAACTGACTGGAGATTGGCCTCCGTGGCCTGGGAGTTGGGGGCAGCTATACTCATGTCACTCCCTTGGGAAACTCAGGGAGGGAAGCAAACAGTTGCTAAATTATTCCTTGGAGTTTTCGGAGTAAAGATTTGGGGCAGCATGACTCTGTGCTACTGGTGGGCTTACCTTTCACCGACCCACTTCATTCACCTCTTCCAGCACCTCATCTCAGATTAGGCAAGTTCTTTAAACTCATTAAACTCCAATTTTCACCTGTTAAATAAGGATGCCGGACACTTAACATAGGATCACTGTGAAAATGATACATAGTAATATATGTGAAGAGTTTTTAACACATTGCCTGGCATTTAATAAGCATTTTATTTTATCTTTTTGCACTATTTCATTGTATTTTCTTCCATGACCATTTATCTCCCCTGTAACCTCTTCCACGCCCCCCCCCCCACCCCGCATTAAACATTTTCAATTTAGTTGTCACTGTGGTCTTCTAGACTTCTTCACATTTCTCATCATTCTCTCCTAGACTCCCAAGAAACGGAAATCCAGCAGTGAGACCCAGAGCCAAGATTGTTTCCGATCACCTTTTCGGAAAGCTTTGACCCAACTAACGAATCGACCACCCTGTCTAGACAGTAATCAGCATGTAAGTCAGAACCACAACCTGCCGATGTATGTACGCGCCCTATTGTTTTGCCCAGGTAGGCTTCCACCCCTGAAGACTTGATGGAGTAGCCAGCAGACAGACTTTGGTGGGAACTTTGGGCCTGCTCACACAGCTCCTGGGGACTGAAAGAGCCCTGGCCTCTTTCTTAGAGATGTGTGCTGATTTGGAGTCCCCTTCCTTTGTAAGATCTTAGGTGGCTCAGATTCCTAAGGACATGAGGGTGTAGGAGAGGGACGGCTATTGCAGGGTATTGGAACTAGGATCCACTCCATCTCTGACTCTGCACAGGGCTTGAAGTACCAGAATCCTACAGCTTTCATGTGCTGCCTCTAGTGTAATGTAATCATCACCAGGCAGGGTCTGTGCATCATCTCCTGTAAGTCTCATTTTTTTTAAGGAAGCTGTCTTAGAGAGGTTAACTTATCCAAAATCACAGAGTAGTTCATCTGAAGCTTTTCCCACCAAACTTCCTGAGGGACGGTAATGTTGAGCTCTTGGAATTTACTAGACTGGGGGGGATAAAGATGCCTTTCAGTAACCCTTTTCAATCACACCTGAGTTTATGTTAATTGAGATGATTTTTGTAAAGCACCTGACCTTGGGGCTGGTTGCCAGGAGAACCAACCCACCAAAGAATGGCCAATGCATAATCAATCATGCTGATGTAATGCAACCTCCATAAAAACCCAAAAGGGTGAGATTCGGAGAGTTTCAGGTCCCAGAGCTTATGGGTTGATGAATGGAACCTCATCCATGTTCCAGGAAGTGGCACACCCCAACTCCATAGATACAGCTCTTGTGCTCAGGGCCCTTCCAGACCTCGCTGTATTTCTTCATCTGGCTGTTCATTTGTATCCTTTAATACCCTTTGAGATAAACCAGTAATCTAGTAAGTGAACTTTTTCTGAGTTCTGTGAGCTGCTCTAGTAAATGAATCAAACCCAAGGAGGGAGTTGTGGGAACCCCCAGTGTATAACCTGTCCACAGAACCACAGGTCACACCCTGACCTTGGGATTGGCATCTGAAGTGGTGGGAGGGACACAGTCTTATGAAGCCTTAATCTGTAGAATCTGATGCTTTCTCCATGTAGGTAATGTCAGAATTGAGTTAAATCGTAGGACACCCAGGTGGTGCCAAGACTTGCTTGATGTGTGGAGAACTCACACGTGTGGTATCTGAAGTGAAGTAGTGTAGGATTAAGAGTAGAGGACACAACAGGAGTGTGTTTTTCCTTTACAGGAAGGTTTTGAAGGAAAAATGGGAATGTGTAACGGAGGTTATTTGTGCACTCAACAAGTGTTCAGAAACATTTTTGTATAATAGATAAATGCAAAATAATACATATATAGCATGTAATATATAAAACACACCCACCATCCAGAACTAGAACATCATCAAAGTCATAATCCCTTTTCCCATCCCCAGAGGTAACCACTATCTTGAATTATGTTTATCTTCCCTTTTTGTGATAGTTTTACCATACATGTATAATTCACTAAGTTTAATTGTTTATTGAGCTGTAAAAAAATGGTATGTATGTTACCAAAGTAAAGGGGTCTGCTTTTCTGCGTGCATCAACACTCAATAAGACATGAACAGGAGCTTGCGGCAAAGGATTTTTTAGTTCGGGAAGCAGCCTGTACCTGGAGTCACAGATGAGCCAATGCTCAAAGACCTGATTCCCAGTGGCTTCCAGGGGGTGGGTTATACAGGGGGAAAATCATTAGTCATGGCGGCTAAGGGAGTGAGGGTTGTGGTCTTTAGCGACTGATCAGGGCTTGGGTAGGGCATAGTTAGTTGATCAGTGCATCTGTTTCTGATGTCAGCTTTGGCATCGATTTGTCTGGTTTCCCTGCTCTTGGGGGCCTGGAGCTGAAACAATAAGCTTAGACGTTATCTCTAGTTTGTCTGAAACTTTATCTCTGTTTAGCAGACTAGAGGCCTTGTTCCTAAGATTTTTTGGTGCTGTTCAGAAGAACCTCATTGTCCGGAGGGCTTAATGATTAAAGGAGTGAACATGTAAGGGAGAAGGAGGCAGGTGAGCCAGGAGGCAGAATGAGGCCAGTTTGAACCAGAAAGAAAGAAAGGAAAAAGTAGTATTAAAGAAATGAAGTTTCTTTGTGGTTATGTGTAGTCCTCTGGGACTTTTCATTCAGGATCCATTCAAGTTGTCCTGTGTACAGTAAACTGTAGGACATTAAGTGCAGGTGTGGTGAGAGTGCAAAACAGGAGCCTAACAGTCTGGAGGTGGATGAACACCTGAGTCTGAGGGAGATGCTGATTAGGTTGAGTCCTGAGGGATGCGAGGATTCAGCCAGGTGAAGTGAGTGAGATGTGATCTCGATGGAGGGAGCAGCCTGTGTGAAAGCTGTGGAGGAAGGAACCTGTCAGGGAGGGAAAATTTTCCTCCATCCTAGGTTCTTCTGGCTGGATTTATAATCAAATAGTCATGAGACAGATTAGCAGGAGAACAATTAAAGCTCTTAATAACATGTAGTAATATGTGTACTTCATGTATACATGGGAGAGACCCAGGAAAGCTAAATAACTTGCCATTTTGGCGGAAGCCATCACCTTAAATACCATCTTCAGCTAGAGACAAAAAATGATGGGGGTGGAATCAGTTATGAGAAAAGGACAGTAAGCAAGTGTATGCAGATGTAAGTCCAAGCCTTGTTCATTTTTGGTGGAGACAGGCCTGGTTCAGTGATACAGACACATTTACAGATAGATTTCCCTTAGAAATGTACTTTTATTTGGTTGTCCGAGCTTCTCCCAAGTCTGCTGTTTGTTAAAAATAACCAGGCTGGGGGACGTGGGGGTGGGCTGGGATGGGAGTAAAAGACAGAAAACTGTACTTGAACAACAATTAAAATAAAATAAAATTTAAAAAGAAAATAAATAACCAGACTAAAATAATATCCCAAAAGACACATTTTGGGGTATCATAAACTCTGCTTCCCTTCAGGCCCCAGAGGCACAAGTGCCTCAGACCCACAAAAGTCATAGTGCAGCCCTGGAAATGAGGTCTTTAACCTTAGACATTGGCGGGATGTCTAGGTTTGAAGGTGGTTGCAAATGTTGGTGTGGAGCCTAGGAGGGAGGTACTGGCTGGGGTCATTAGCATATTGGTGATATTTAATACATCCAAAGTGTACTGTAGTGTCTAGGTGAGTGTGCAGTCAGAAGAGCCTAGGACCAAGCCCTGTGGAACACTGACTTTTGAGGGGGTTAGGCAGAGGAAAAAGAAAGCCCATTAGGGAACTGAGCGTGAAGTCCCAGAATGGGGGTTGGGGGTGGTTATAGTGGGAGATTGGTGTCCATGGAAGTCAAAGGCAGAGAATATCTGAGAAGGAGTGGCCAGCTTTGTCTAGTAAGATAAGGATAGTTAATACATTTATTGGAATTAGGGTCATATAGGCTATTGGTGATCTTGCTCAGAATCATTTCAGAAGATGAAAAGAGCAGAATGGATGATAAGGAGGGGAAGACAGACAACTCCTTGTGGAAGTTCCAAGGGGAGGAGATAAAAGGTCAAAGGAATTTTTGTTTTATGAGATAGGCAGTTGAGCCCTGGCTGGTGTGTCTCAGTGGAAGTGTTGATGGTTCAATTCCCAGTGAGGGCACATGCCTGGGTTGTGGGCCAGGTCCCCAGTAGGAGGCATGTGAGGGGCAACCACATTGATGTTTCCCTTCCTTTCTTTCTCCCTCCCTTCCCCTCTCTCTAAAAATAAATAAATAAAATCTTTAAAAATGTTTTTTTCTTTTTAAAAAAAAGATAGGCAGTTAAGCATTTTTAAAATGCTGGTGAGGGAGAGGTTGAAATAAAGGAGAGATTAGGCTGATACGAATTTTCAGTAACTAAATGAACAAAGTGAGAGCATACTCTCTCCCCTGCCTCTGCTAGAGTCTAGTGAGTATTACCAGAACAGGTTCCCAGAGGCTGGCCATTTCAGGTCTCGCAGGCTGTGCCCTCTGATGTTTTTGGCCAGGGGTTCGCGCAGTGTCCTATGCTAGTTGCCCTAGCCTGCGGTTCACCCCATTAGAAACTGTGGCTCCCGGTTTTATTGACAGCCTTGCTTTTTAAATTTGGAACATAAATTCTTGGCTACTCAGAGCCTCAAATCTAGCCTCCTATATTAATAGTCTTGAAGATAATATTTCAATTTTAGAATTGAAGGCAGAATTAACACCAAATTAGGAAGGAAACTTGAGTCCATTTCCTTCCTTTTACTTTCCTTTGACTTAAGGTTAGCTTTTTTTTTTTTAAAGACTTTATTTATCTATTTATGTATTTATGTATTTAGAGGGGCAGGAGGGAGAAAGGGAGAGAAACATTGATCGGTTGCTTCTCACATGTACCTGGCCTGCAGACCAGGTGTGTGCCCTGACTGGGAATTGAACGGGTGACCTTTCAGTTTGTGGGAACATGCCCAGCCCACTGAGCCATACCAGTAAGAGTGAGGGTAGATTTTTTGTTAGCATCCTTCATATATGAATTTCTCATTATTATTATTGCTATTTATAATTACAATAATCATGGTAATTAAAAAGTTAATAGCCCTGACTAGTGTGGCTCAGTGGATTGAGCACTGGCTTGCAAACCAAAAGGTCGCTGGTTCAATTCTCAGTCAGAGCACATGCCTGGGTTGCAGGCCAGGTCCCTAGTAGGAGGCATGTGAGAAGCAACCAATCAATGTATCTCTCACACATTGATGTTTGTCTCCGTTCTTTCTCCCTCTCTCTAAAAAGTAAATAAATAAAATCTTTTTAAAAAGTCAATAAAATACTTTATTCATCTGCAAAGAGATATACAAATAAACAATGAATTTGGGCCTATCTCTAACCCTGCCTTAGTCATTATTTAGTGAGATAATGAAGTTCGGTTCTCTGACAGTTCTTTTCTGTCTTCCAATAGATTGCCAAATATAATCATTATATTTTTCCTATTTAAAGTACATTGAGTTTTTAGAAATTATAATGATCTGTATGGAAATGTTTCAGAATAAAAAGGTAAAAATTTCAGGGCAAGGCAGGCTTACTTTTTTCTCATTAAACTACCTTTTTGCTAGAAGGAATAATTTTTATTACTTTTTCACTAATGTGTTTTCATTAAAACTACCTTTAGGGTTTTTGCTCTTGTTTTCTCCTTGCTTTCTTGGGTTCTAGTCCTTGTTTCATTGAGGTTCTTGGGCTACTGTAATTTCCCAGAGGGCTTAGGTGTGTGTAGACCAGATCCTTGGTGGGAGTTGTCAGAGGAAGCTCAGGAGGTGGTGTTCTGGACTCCCCTGCCTCCTCTGCTGCCCCAGCCCCATCGCTCAGTGCTGATGCCAGGCCCAAGTGATGGCACAGGGTCTGGCAGACACTGAGGTGGAAGTACCAAGGCCACCCTTCTCTAGGACCTACATATGTCTGCTTCCTGTCACCCTTTTCCCACTTTCTTTTTCTTGGTGATTGGCTTGCCCTCTGTCTGTGTCCCCTTTATCATGTCATTCCTTTCTTGTGCGTTCCCATGGCAAGAAGCTGCTGACTGGGCTGATCCACGTGGCTGCACTCAAACAGGTTGGGTTAGGAGGCCGCATTGCCTGCCTCCTGGTTACAGGGGAGGGCCTTGGGATCAGGAAAGTCCTCCATCTGTCACAGCTGTGTGACTTGGGAAAGTGGTAATGACTGAGCCTGGATGTGTTCATCTGTAGACTGGGTATGTCAGTAATGTATGGACTTTGTAGAGCTGTTGGTGAGGCTTCAATGGTGACGTGGACACAAGGGGCCGGATGTTCCATCTGGTGTACATCGTTACTCATCACTGTGGTCGTTTTTACTGATGTTAATGTTATCGCTTTACTAATGCTACTCTTGTTACTCCTGCTCTTTGAGGGGCTGTTGAGTTCTCAGGGAGGCTGATGTGGGAATTAACTGCAATAGGCTGACCTGATATGACAAAAAAAGAAATGTGAGGTATGCTTGGGAAGATGTGGTCCAGTAGGACAGTGGTTGAATCCAGACATTGGAGTTCCTCATTAGCAATGGGGCTGGGTAACTTTGCGATACCTTCTTCTTAAGGTGTTAAACCCTAAGGAATAGTTAGCTGTCCACAATGGCATGGTCTTTTGTGAGCTAATGTTATGAGCCTTGTGGTTGACTGAGGCTAGACACTGGCAGGTGGTCATCTGGTGTCCCTTGGTACTTGTAGAACCTCATATAAAGCCACGAAGATGAGAGCTGTGTACAGACCTAATGTGGAGCACATCTCTTTATGTTTAGCTGTGTCTGAATGACATGTGATCAAAATACAGTGCTCTCGCTGTGTTACGGTGCTTAAATAGACATCTTAGGCTGCGTTTGTAGAAATGGTATCCCATAACATTGCCAAACATTCCTGAATCCCTGTTTCTTCTCTTCTCTTTTTAGGAAGCATTTATTCGAAGCATTTTGTCAAAGCCTTTCAAAATCCCCATTCCAAATTATCAAGGTAAAAATGGAAAGCATACCTCACATTTCTTTTCTTCCTCTTTTTGACTCAGCCATGTGAAAATGTGCCTGAATAATTAAAACCTCAGCTTTTGTACATACAAGCTTACCTTGGAGTTGAAGGTGCCAGTCCAGTGGTGACTGTTACGAGGTGACTCTCCTGAGGCCTCGTGAAGGCTGTGTTTGATAGCTTCAACAAGGGCCACCGAGAGTGACTGCCTGTCATCTGCTTGATGGGGATGTGCCAGTGCTTGGGAAGCTCCTGGTGGGCCAGAGTGAGGTTTCAATTAGTCCAAGTGAGTCCAGTGGCATCTTCTTTATGAGGCCGACTCTCCTGGAGGCATAGGTTCTTCAAAGCTTCCCTTCCTGTGTAGAGCATAGTTGTGCTAAAACTGGGACTGGGAGGAAGGAGGCCCACTCTCAAGACTTCTGAGTCTCAAAAAGGCTCTTTTAGGGATTTAGACCTTTCTAGGATTAACTTGAGATAAATAAGACCCAGCCCTTCAGAAAGTTTGTAGTTGAATGGGGAAGTGAAATAGTAAGAACTCTGATCTGAGGCAGACTGGGATAATGGTCCAGTAGAGTTGCCCAAACTGGGTTTGGAGTGGTTTAGGGAGAGAGCTAGGTCACGTGGGAGCTTAGGAAAGGTTATGTGAAGAACAGGCATTGGAGCTGGGCCTGCTGGAGCTCCTCAACTTAGAGGCTTATGTAACAGATTGTTGGTTTCTAGGTCCCCTGGGCTCTCGGGCATTGGGCCTCAAAAGGGCTGGGATCCGCCGGGCCCTCCATGACCCCCTGGAAGAAGGTGCCTTGGTTCTGTATGAGCCTCCCCCACTGAGCGCCCATGACCAGCTGAAGCTTGACAAGTATGTACATTGCTGTTTTCTTACGCAGTTCTGGTCCTCTGTAGGTGTGCATACCTGGGAGGGCAGGGGGCATTTTAGTGTGATGTATCCTTGGGACTGGCACATGTTTTCGGAGCACTGTCATTGCTGCACTGTCCAGAGAGTGTGTGGGTGGGAAAGGGCAGTGCCTGGGAAAGACCATGTGGACGTGTCCATGTGGTGGGAGTTTCTTATCCCTTCCCGCCAAGCTCAGGAGCTGGAAGGGTTGAGCTGATGACGTAGGAAACCCATTCCCCTGTCCTAAATTTCCCTGGAGCAAGAATTTACTGTAGTTCGGTTACTAGGCCTAGCAGGGCCTTTCTCAGGCAGTTGCCTCTGGCTTCTGGATCAGCAGGACACAACTTGCTGAGGGCATGCCCTTGCTCATGTCTGAGCTCCATATTTTCTTTGCCATGTTTTCTCAGGGAAAAACTCCCTGTCCATGTGGTCGTTGATCCTATTCTCAGTAAGGTCTTGCGGCCTCATCAGAGAGAGGTAACTGGTGGGGGAGGGTGGGGATGAGGGATGGGCCAGGGTCTGAGACTGGGAGGCTGCCACCTCTGGAGTAACAGCAGTGTGGTTGCCAACATGGGCTGGGTGCTCTTCTTCCCCAGGGAGTGAAATTCTTGTGGGAGTGTGTCACCAGTCGGCGCATCCCGGGCAGCCACGGCTGCATCATGGCTGATGAGATGGGCCTGGGCAAGACGCTGCAGTGTATCACCTTGATGTGGACGCTTTTGCGCCAGAGTCCAGAGTGCAAGCCAGAAATTGACAAAGCAGTGGTGGTGTCGCCCTCCAGCCTGGTGAAGAACTGGTACAACGAAGTTGCAAAATGGCTTGGAGGGAGGATTCAACCACTAGCCATCGATGGAGGCTCTAAGAATGAGATAGATCAAAAGCTGGGTACGGAGCCTTGACAAAAGATGACTGCGCTCCTCCCATAACCTGCTTCTTTCTTATGTGTGTGCTCACTGACGGCCAGGGTTGAGGGCATTGAGAGGTGGCAGAGGAGAACTTCCATGGAAAACAATTGAAATAGTTATTCCCAGGCTAAATTAAAGAACTAGCAAACTTTTTTTTTTTTTAAGATTTATTTATTTTCAGAGAGAGCAGAAGGGAGGGAGAGACATTGATGTGTGAGAGAAACATCAGTCGGTTGCCTCTTGCATGCCCTGAACTGGGGACCTGGCCTGCAACCCAAGCATGTGCCCTGACAGGGAATCGAATTGGCGACCCTTTGGTTTGCAGGCCAGCAGCATTCAGTCCACTGAGCCACACCAGCCAGGGCCAAACCTTTTTTTCTTTTCCTTTCTTTCTTTCTTTCTTTCTTTCTTTCTTTCTTTCTTTCTTTCTTTCTTTCTTTCTTTCTTTCTTTCTTTCTTTCTTTCTTTCTTTCTCTTTCTTTCTTTCTTTCTTTTCTTTTCTTTTCTTTTCTTTTCTTTTTCTTTTTTTTTTAAAGATTTTATTTATTTATTTATTTTTAGAGGGAAGGGAGGGAGAAAGAGAAACATCAATGTGTGGTTGCTGGGGCCCTTGGCCTGCAACCCAGACATGTGCCCTGACTGGGTTTTTCTTTAAGATATTGTAAAATTTGTTCCTTGATGCCTTTTCTGTCATAGAAGGATTCATGAACCAGCGTGGAGCCAGAGTGCCTTCTCCTATTCTCATCATTTCTTATGAGACATTCCGCCTTCATGTTGGAGTCCTCCAGAAGGGGAGTATTGGACTGGTCATATGTGACGAGGTACTTGACTCTCAAAGGTCTGGGTGGTAGGAGAAAGTGTGTCAGACTCTCCTCACTGAGAATTGCCATCCTGGGGCGGTGTCAGTCACTGGGGAATGCTGAGTACAGGGCAGGCTGCTTTGGAGGAGGCAAGTGGGAGGAGAGCCCATGAGGTCAATCTGTCAAAAGAGGGAGTAAGCAGTGTTTGGAACTCTGATGAGGGCGAGGTGCTATGGACTGATGGCCACAGGCTGGATCCTCTACACAAGACATTGCTACCATTAGCAGTGCCACACTGTGCCTAGGCCTAAGTGAGAATTAATTTCCTTTCAGGGACACAGGCTCAAGAACTCTGAGAATCAGACTTATCAGGCCCTGGACAGCTTGAACACCAGCCGGCGGGTGCTCATCTCGGGGACTCCCATCCAGAATGATCTCCTCGAGTATTTCAGCTTGGTACATTTTGTTAATTCAGGCATCCTAGGTGAGAATCCAGCTCTGTTGGTTACATTAGCGGGGAGCCTTACCTGTAACTCTAGCTGAGGAAAGAAAGGAGAGAATGCTAGCTGTGCTTGTGGGAAGACTTTTCTCGTCAGGGAGAGCCTTGGCTCTGCTGACCAACTCAGCAAGGTCCATTCTGGTCTTATTTGAAAAAATTTTTACTTTTAAATTACATTTGCCATCCAATATTATTTTTTAAAAGATATTATTTATTTTTAGAGAGAGGGGAAGGGAAGAAGAAAGAGGGGGAGAGAAACAACGATGTGTGAGAGAAACATCCATCAGTTGCCTCTCACATACCCCCCAACCTGGGACCTGGCCTGCAACCCAGGCATGTGCCTGCCCTCACTAGGAATCTAACAGGTGACCTTTGTGACTGCTGGACCATCCAGCCCACTGAGCCACACTAGTCAGGACATAATATTTTTTAATATTAGCTTCAAGTATAAAACATAGTGGTTAGACAATTATATAATTCACAAAATGATTCCCCCAACAATTCAAGCACCCACCTAGCAACATACATAGTTACTACAATATTATTGATTATATTCTCTGTGTTGAACTTTACATCCCCATAAGTATTTTGTAACTACCAATTTGTACTTCTTTAATCCCTTTACCTTTTCCACTCAGTCTTTTATCCCTACTTCCCCTCTGGCAACTCTGTTTGTTCTCTGCATCCATGAGTCTGTTTTTGTTTTGTTTCTTTCTTTAGATTTCACTTCATCTATGGATTTGTCTTTCTCAGTCTGCCTTGTTTTAATTAGCATAGTATCCTCTAGGTCCATCCATGTTGTCACAAATGGTAAGATTGTATTCTTTTTTATGGCCAAGTAATATTCCATTGTGTATTATATATACCACCACTTTTTTATCCACTCATCTGTTGATGAGCCCTTAGGTTGCTTCCATATCTTGTCTATTGTAAATAAGCTGCAGTGCACATAGGGGTGCATATATCTTTTCAAATTAGTTTTTTTGGTTTCTTTGTATATAATCCCAGCAGTGGAATTGCTGGGTCAAAAGGCAGTTCCATTTTTAGTTTTTTGAGGAACTTCCATACTGTTTCCCATAGTGGTTACACCAATATGCATTCCCACCAACAGTGCACAAGGGTTTCTTTTTCTTCATATCCTTGCCAACACTTGGTTGTTGATTTATTGATGATAGCCACTCTGTCAGCTGTGAGGTGGTATCTCATCATGGTATTAATTTGCATCTCTCTGGTGACTAGTGATGCTGAGCATTTTTTCATGAGTCTGGGGCCCTCTGTATGATCCTCTTTGGAAAAGTATCTTTTTGGGTCCTATACCCATTTTTTAATTGGATTGGTTGTTTCTTTGGTTCTTTATAAATTTTGTGTATTAACCCCTTATCTGATGTATTTTTGGCAAATGTCTTTGCCCATTTTGTAGGTTGTCTTTTTGTTTTGTTGATGGTTTTCTTTGCTGTGCAAAAACTTTTTAGTTTGATGTAGTCCCATTTGTTTTTTCTTTTGTTTCCCTTGCCCGAGGAGGTATATTAGGGAAAATATTGCTAAGAGAAATGTCAGAGAGTTTACTGCCTATGTTTTCTTCTAGAAGTTTTATGGTTTTGAGTCTTAACATTTAAGTCTTTAATCCATTTTGAGTTTATTCTTGTATGTGATGTAAGAAGGTGGTCTAGTTTCTTTTTTTTTTTTTTTGCATGTGTCTGTCCAGTAATCCCAACACCATTTATTGAGTAGGGTGTCTTTACCCCACTGTATATTCTTGTCTCCTTTGTTGTATATGAATTGACCATATGGAATTCTCTGTTCTGTTCCATTGATCTATGTGTCTTTTTATGCTAAAACCATGATGTTTTGCTTACTATGGCCTTATTGTATAGTTTGATATCAGGTAGCATGATACCTCCAACTTTGTTCTTCTGTTTTCATTGTTGTGGCTATTCAGGGTCTTTTGTGATTTCATATAGATTTTTGGATTATTTGCTCTAGTTCTGTGAAAAATGCCATCAGTATTTTGATAAGGATTGTGTTGAATCTATAGATTGCTTTTGGGGTTGGGTAGTGTGGACATTTTAACGATGCTAATTTTTTCTACTCATGTGCACAGTATATGCTTCCATTTATGTACCTTCTTCAGTTTCTTTAATGTCTTATAATTTTCCGAGTAGGTTTTTTACTTCTTTGGTTAAATGTATTCCTAGGTATTTTATTTTTTTTGGTACAGTTGTAAATGGGATTGTTTTCTTAGTTTATTTTTCGGATTGTTCATTACTGGCATATAAAAATGCAACCAGTTTCTGAATATTTATTTTGTTTCCTGCTACTTTACTGAATTCATTTATCAGTTCTTAATAGGATTTTTTTGGTAGACTCCTTAGGGTTTCCTATATATAGTATTATGTCATCTGCAAATAATGACATTCTTACTCCCTTCTTTCCAATTTGCATACCTTTTATTTTTTCCTTTTGTCTGGTTGCTGTGGCTAGGATTTCCGCACTCTGGCCATGTTCCACTGCAGAGGTGGCAGGCTGTACACATCTAGGACATGGGGTCACTGTGAGCTGTGGATGAAAATACTGTGCTTCCTCCAGACATTTTTGTTCATCACGTCCTAGCTGCCTCACAAGAGCTTTGGCCTCAGAGCAGACTGTATTGGGCAGTTTCTTTCCTTTTTAAATAATTTTTTAGTGTCCAGCTAAGTGGCATTAAGTGGCTTTAATGAATATATCTATTCTACTGTTGATAGACAGTTGAATTGTTTCCAGTTTTTTTCTCTTTAAGATTGTATTTATTTCTAGAGAAAGGGCAAGGGAGGGAGAAAAACACCAATTGGTTGCCTGTTGCATGCCCCCAACTGGGATCTGGCCCACAACCCACCTCTGTGCCCTGAACAGGGGTTGAACTGGCCACTTGATTTGCAGGACAATACCCAACCCACTGAGCCACACTGGCCAGACCAATTTATTATTCTTTTGAATAATGATGCTGTGACCATTCTTGTGTATGTCTTTACCTAGGCATAGTATGCATTTCTGTCCTCAAAGTGTGGGTGGAATTGCTGGGTCATATGTTATGCATGTGTTCAGCTCTGTAATAACATTCCAAAGTGGTTATACCATCAGAGTATGAGAATTCCAGTGTCTCTACATCATGGGTCAGCAGTTTGTTTTCTGAAACAGCTAGAGGCTCACAGGCCAAATTGTCTGTCACAACTACTCAGCTCTGCTAATGGGGCATGGCTGTGTTCTAATAAAACTTTATTTTTTTAAAGATTTGATTTATTTCTTTTTAGAGAGATGGGAAGGGAGGGCGAAAGAGATGGAGAGAAACATTAGTGTGTGAGAGAAGCATCAATTGGTTGCCTCTTGTATGCCCCCAACTGGGGACCTAGCCCACAACCCAGGCATGTGCCCTGAGTGGGAATCGAACTGGTGACCCTTTGGTTAGTAGGTCATCACTCAGTCCACTGAGCCACACCAGCCAGAGTAATAAAACTTTATTTACAGAAACAGTTGGCTTGCCCATGGCTGTAGTTTGTTGACCATGGCTCTGTATCATCACCAATATTTATCTTTAATTTTAAAAAAAGATTTGTCATTTTATTGTTGTTTAGTGATATCTCACTGTACTTGCTTAATGTTGAATAAAGTTGAATGGTATTTAATATGGTCTTTTGTGAGGTGCCTGATCTTTTTATTTCTGGCCAAAAGAAAACCCTATACCTATTTAGCAGTCACCCCCTATTTCCTCTTTATCCCTAAGCCCTGGAAACCTCCAATCTGCTTTCTGTCTCAGTGACTTTGCCTATTCAGGGTATTTCATAACAGTGGAATCCTATCATATGGGACCTTCTGTTTTCAGCTTCTTTTACTTGGCGTACAGTTTTCAAGGCTCATCTACACTTTAGCGTGAACTTCCTGGCACTGATACATGCTGCTTCATCTCTTATAAGCAGCATATAGGTGGGCTCTTTAAAAAAATCCAGGCTGACAATTGGATTATCTATTTATTGGATTATTCTGTCCATTTATAGTTAATGTAATTAGTTATATATTTGGATTTTAATCTATTATCTCACTATTTGGCCTTTTCAGTCTTCCATGCTTTGGTAGCTCCCTGATTCATTCAAACAAATTGCCTGTAATTTGTTCAGCTTTGTTGGTCTTGGCAGGAAGGTTGGTCTGTAACAAAGTGATCTGCTGTTACTGGCAATGGGAAAATCATTCTTTTTCTACACTCTCTAATTTTCCCTTCTCTCCTGTGTTTAGGAACTGTGCATGAGTTCAAGAAGCATTTTGAGTTGCCAATTTTGAAGGGTAGAGACGCAGCTGCCAGTGAGGCAGATCGGCAGCTGGGAGAGGAGCGACTGCGGGAGCTCACCAGCATTGTGAATAGGTAGCGGCAGGGTGGGCCTAGAGGGCAGCAGCTTTCTTTGGGTTCCCCCAACTGAGCTCATCAGATTTGCCAGCTAAGCCATCCAAGGCTGATCTTTTGGGGCCTTGGACTAGGAGGGCTGGGATTCTAGGAAGGGAGTGGGATCTGTGCCTTGACTATAGTCATTAATAAATGAAGGGTTCTTGCAGGCCAAGTCCCTGCTCTCTTCCTGGCCTGGGCCTGTGGTCTGGCTTTGGATTGCTTAGCAACCTACTAAGGAAGCTCTTTTCTGACACTGTTGGACTTTCTGAGCAAAATATCCCTTGGAGCATTATTAATATTTCAGAAGTTTCCTGTCATTTGGTCTTAGACCTAAAGAACCAGGCTTCCCTTCCCAGGCTTCATAGCCTTGGACAGGTAGGAGCATATCTGATGAATGTGGATCCCTGGGTGAAAGGGCTTTTTCCATGGGGGCCACATAGCCAGGAGGGCAGGTACATTCCGGACTCCTCTGTTATAGGTACATATGAGATACACTTGGTAATGATTTACATCCTGAAGAGCCCTGCCCTTCCCAACTGCCACCTCTCTCAGTTTTGTTTTTTATTTTTTTATTATTTATTGATTAGAGAAACATCTGTTTGTTGTTCTACTTATTTATGCATTCATTGGTTGATTCTTATATGTGCCCTGACCAGAGATCAAATCTGCAACCTTGGTGTTTCAGGACAACACTAACCAACTGAGCTACCTGACCAGGGCCTGCTCACTCCCAATTTTAGATGGCAGGAAGGAGAGTCAGTGTGTCAGGAGCTGCTGCTTAGGTTCCTGATTGTTGTTCTTCCTGGTCTGCCAGGAGGTATGGGCTTAATTTCATTGAGTCTTGGGCCATGTGACAATAGGCATTTGGGCAAATGCAGAAACTCCCCTAAGGACTTAGTGGTTTAGAGCTTGCTTTCCCAGCCAGAGCACCAGGTTCAATGGGAGACCTTGGCTTCTTCTTGAGGAACAGCTAACCTTTTGAAAGGGAAGAGAAAGAGTTGTCAGTCAAAGCTAGACTGTTTGAAAGGGTCTCTGTTTCTGTGACTGAGACCCCGACATAGATATCTTTGCCATAGGGCTGATGGGTCTCTGACATTTGATACTACAAAAGAGTCAGTCTTGGTCTTTTGGGTGGTAACTTTTATTCTAGTAGTTTGTGCGGCCATTTTACCAGCTCCTTACCTTTTTATCCTGTTCTCTCCAGGTGTCTGATACGGAGGACATCTGATATCCTTTCTAAATATCTGCCTGTGAAGATCGAGCAGGTGGTTTGTTGTAGGTATGGAACTCAACTTAGGGGTATGGCGAGGGTAAAAGCCCAGCTCTCGAGTTGTCCTTAGAGGGCCAGAGTGTGACTCAGTGCTTCCCACTGACCCAGCTGCCTTTTTTTTCAGGCTGACACCCCTTCAGACTGAACTATACCAGAGGTTTCTGAGGCAGGCCAAGCCAGCAGAAGAGTTGCGTGAGGGCAAGATGAGTGTATCTTCCCTTTCTTCCATCACCTCATTAAAGAAGCTTTGTAATCGTGAGTTGTGTCCATGCTCTGAGGTCCTCTGTGAGAGTGAGTAAGAAAGGGTAGGCTCCTGCAGGTGATCCAGCCACCTTTACGAATACTTATCCAGAGTCCTCATAGGGGCCACATGTGATTCCAGTCCTCCCCAAGGTGTGAGCCCTGCATTGTGCACTCTGTAAACCAGACCCTTCGCTTTGAAAAATTTAGCTTGTCCTCAGCGCAGCCCATTCTTGATGCTTTGGGTATATATAGCACTATGTGTGTAATAAGTGTGTTTGTGCATACATGTGCCTATAAAATGTTGGACAGGTGAAAAAATAACACACCTTAATGCCTCTGGTATATCTCCCTTCTTGTTGGGACAACACCCTAGTGAGCAAGATTGTCCATTTATGGTCCCAGAACGCACTGACTGCACGCTGGAATTTGAGACCAAGCAAATCTGGTACTGAAGAAGGTCTTTTGGGTAGGCTTCTAGGGGGTGTTCTAATGAGCACTGAAGTGGAAACTTTCTAAAGCAATGTAGCTGGCATTTTGGTTTTAATTTTTTCCCCTAGATCCAGCTCTAATCTATGACAAGTGTGTACAAGAGGAGGATGGCTTCGAAGGTGCCTTGGACATATTCCCCCCTGGTTATAGCTCCAAGGCTCTAGAGCCCCAGCTGTCAGGTGGGACCTTTCCTATCAGTTTTTTGGTTTCTCTGGAAGGAGGGATGGGAAACCGTCTCGTTGTTCTAGACCTACCTTGACTCAAGGCAGGATATCAAGAGTAAGAGTTGTGGGTCATTGGGATGACCTGCTGAGGGCTAATAGTGCTGATCTCCCCAGGTAAGATGCTGGTCCTTGATTACATCCTGGCGGTGACCCGAAGCCGCAGCAGTGACAAAGTAGTGCTGGTGTCCAATTATACCCAAACATTGGACCTCTTTGAGAAGCTCTGTCGGGCTCGAAGGTAGGGAAGAGCTTAACTAGGCTACCAAAGGGGTGCCTCTCTACTGTTCCCCTAGGAAAAGTAAGTGTTCTGATTGGTGGATGTGGGTACAGGAAAAGGAAGTGTTCTGATTGGTGGATGTGGGTACAGGAGGGACTTTTCCTTATGGATGTTCTGGTGCTAGTTTCATCCCCAAGCAGAATAGCCCCTGGTCTTTCAGGTGCTCCCATCAGACAGACTCCTGGCTTCTAGCTCCTGCCCCTCCCTTTGGGAGTATGGAGCCTTAGGCTGTGTGTGAACAGTCTCAAACATGGTTAGTTCACTCCGCTCAGTAGCTCTGGCTACAAGGAATTCTGCATTCTTCTTAGGTTTTGATCTTTGGATTTCCCTTTAGGTACTTATATGTCCGCTTGGATGGCACCATGTCCATTAAGAAGCGAGCCAAGGTTGTGGAGCGCTTCAACAGTCCATCGGTAAATGCACAGCTCATTCCCACACCCCCAATGTAGTGACACAGTGAAAGAGAAGATATAAGAGGGCTCTGTCCTAGGATCTTCCTGGATTTTCTTCTTTTTCATGTGGGTGTGTGGCAGAGTTAGGTTTGTTGGTGATGGCTGGGCTGGGACCTGACTTAGTGATCTAGGAGGTTGGGTGGTGGGTAAACTGGTGGTCCTCATAATTAATCTGAGTATAAGAGTACTATGTGTACTGGACCAAGAGAGAACTGTTCGCTGGGCCGAGTAGGATTCCAGTTCAGACTGTAAAGGGTTCTTTTTCTCCTGCTCCTTTCTTTCCAGAGCCCTGACTTTGTCTTCATGCTGAGCAGCAAAGCTGGAGGCTGTGGCCTCAACCTCATTGGGGCTAACCGACTGGTCATGTTTGACCCTGACTGGAACCCAGCTAATGATGAACAAGCCATGGCTCGGGTTTGGCGTGATGGTCAAAAGAAGACCTGCTATATCTATCGCCTGCTGTCTGTAAGGATGGAGTTGTGGTCAGAGTGGGGGTGGGTCATGGAACAAGACCTTCAAGACCAACTTGGATTGCTTTTCAGTGTCTCTCTTTGGCCCTTCTCCCTCTAGCACTGGCCAAGGGCTTAACCTGGAGCCTTATTTATTCTTCTGTTCTCGCTACCCCATTCCCTAAAACCCTTCTTACAATGCCCTCTGGCTGCCTGTTCATTAGCTAACAAACTCCCCTGTGGCCCCATCCTTTTCACAGGGCACCTGCTTTCCCTCATACCTGATTTCTGCTCTCCCACTTGGCCTCGCAGTCTTCTTATACTCCACGTCCCTTGGTGCTGAGGAGCGGTGTTGGCATTTTCCAAGTTCTCCGTGATCATGCAGATCATCCACCCTATAGTTCCTCTTTTGCAGCTCATGCTGATTGACTTGATACCCTCTTTTCCTGTCTTCAGTAATCTACCTCCTGCTATTTTCCTAATTCATGGATTACTTTGGACACCAGCTCTTTCTTTCTTCCCCAAATCCACTGTCATGCTAGTGGACTTCAAGGAGCATGCAGTTATCCAGCACTCTGGCCTTCATGTTTCCTTGACTTCTCCCTATTTTAATTACTCCTGAGGCTACACTGTGGAACTTTAACAGTACCAGAACTTTACATAGTACCCAAAACTTTAATAGTTATCATTGGTAATAGCCATCACTTCTTATCCGTTCAGCTTTTTTATACCTCCTACATCTGCTTCAACCTAACGTCCCTAGTGCCCTGTCCTCAGTCCCGAAATCTAGCTAGACTACCTTTTCTGTTCAGCCTGATCCTTACTGTACATCCTTTCAGGTACTCCTTCCCTAATACCTACTTCACTTGGATCATTACAGCTATTCTCAGCTTCTAAACCAGATAAATTTGCATTTACAGATTGATACTACCATAAATTCAGGTTCGCTATTTTGGGCTTGGCCATATCTCATTTCCTTCAGCAGGTACTTCAAGCCTTTAGCACTGCCCTCAAGTTTCCTTCCTAACCCTCTTTCTTATTTTTCTGCAGAGACCTTGTCCTTCTCCTTTACGGGGCGGGGGGGGGGGGGGGGCCCCCCCGGCGGCGGCGGGGGTTGGTGGGGGGCGGAGCTACCGGGCTTGAATTCTCTCTGCTCGCTTCCTGTCTTCCGTAAATCTATACACCTGTGCTTCCCATCTCAGAGGAAGGTCATGCCTTTCCTCTCTTTGAGATTCATCATTCCAGCTCTGTTCTAGAACACTTTCTATCCTTTCTTTTCTTAGTTAATTAATTTCTCCTTTATTCTCTGATATCTACAAACATACTCAAGTAGCTCTTGCCTTAAAAACGGTTTCTCAATGCTGTCTTACTGTAGCCATTACCTTGGGTTCCTTTCCGTTCACTGTCAAATTTTTCCAAAGCCTACAGATATAACTTCATCTCATCTTCGACTCACTCATCACACTATTTATGCTATTGAACCTGCTTTTGAATGTACTATTATTGGCTTTCTAATTGCCAAAACGAGACTCTTGATTTTTCCTTCTTTGTATATCTGACACTATTCACTACTAATCTTAAAATTCTTTTCTCTTTGGAAACTCCACTCTGGTTTTCCTACCTTTGTGACTATATATGTTCATTATATTGACACGTCTCTAATGAAATTTTTAGCTCATATATCACCTACTGTACATTTCGTTCCACCTGAGCACTTAAGATACATCATGACAAAAACATGCTCCCCTTCTGAACTTTGTCATTTAATGGCTCCATTATCTACCCAACCCAAAATTTGTAGGATAATCATCCTACTAGACCATGTTCTAATTACCATTGTTTTTACTTTCTTGATATTTCCTTAATCTAACCTTCCTCTCCATGCCATGCTAAAGTCACCATAATCTCTCACTTGGATATCTTGGCATCTTCCTAATTCTTTATCTTTGGTCTTATCCTAACCCATTTTCACATACTGCTTCCAGAATGAGCTTTCCAAAAATTCTGAATTTGCTTTTTATCATTTCTAGGAAAAGGTTAAACTCTTCAGCCTGGCATACAAGCTTCTCCATCATGGCCTCTGCTGACTTTCTCAGTCCCAACTCTTACCACACTTCCACTGTCCTCTAGATAGGCTGAACTCAGTCCCCCACTAGGTCAGACTTATTCCTTTCTCTGCTGGGAATGCCTTCCTTTCTACCTTTCCTTGTAAATTACTGATTCATTTTTTAAGATTCAACTTAAGGGCCATCTCATTCTTCCTTTCAACACTGTTCCACTCTACCATCCCTGTTGTGGGCTCCTGGGTACTCTATACAGAAATCTGTTGTTATACCAATCAGCTTAAGTGTGTGTCTGTTCCACTAGTCTGAGTTCAAGAATAGGGATCGTATTGATTCTTCTTTATACCCTAGTGTTAGCACAGCATCTAACATAGGATACCCAAGTAACAGTTACTAAGTGAGACTTGGGCTTGGTGTGGAAGTCTGATGAAACTGCTCTAGACAAATCTCAGCTTACCCTGAAGGGATTTAGCCAGGCTGTGAAAATATCATTGGTACAGAAAATATTCTGGGTGGGCAGACATGCACAAGTCATGTTCCCAAGAGACAAACTGGGTAATGGGCCCAGCTGAGCAGAGGTATTGCTGCAGGATTTTTCCTTTTCATTTCTCTCTCCTTCTCTTGAGGGCTATAGTTTAAGTCCCTGGGTTTTCCTGCCCCCTAGGTGTGGGTATGACTTAGCCCTGCTTCCCTGGCTCCCACCATCTTCTCCCAGGCAGGGACCATCGAGGAGAAGATCTTTCAGCGCCAGAGCCACAAGAAGGCACTGAGTAGCTGTGTGGTAGATGAGGAGCAGGATGTGGAGCGGCACTTCTCTCTGGGCGAGTTGAAGGAGCTGTTTACCCTGGATGAGGCTAGCCTCAGTGACACACATGACAGGTAGGTGAAATGCCCTGCCAGCCATTATTGGTGAACTTCCTGCACAGCATGGAGATGGGATGTATAGTGACCACAGCTTTGTCCCCTGCCTCCAGGTTGCGCTGCTGCCGCTGTATCAACAACCACCAGGTCAGGCCACCCCCTGATGGTTCTGACTGCACCTCAGACCTGGCTCAATGGAACCATAGTACTGATAAGCGGGGGCTCAGGGATGAGGTACTCCAGGCTACCTGGGATGCTGCCTCCACTGCCATCACCTTCGTCTTCCACCAGCGTTCCCACGAGGAGCAGCGGGGCCTCCACTGATACCCAGTTAGCCTGGGTGTAGCTGTTAAAGAGGAAGGAGAGGGAAAGGGGCTTCCTTTTCCATAGGGCCCTGCTGAATTTTGTTCTATGGGAGAAGAATCATCAAGAAGGGCTGCATGATGTTTGCCCAAAATTTATTTTATAAGAAAAACTTTTGGTTAAAAAAAAAAAAAAGAAAGGAATAAAGGTATGAAAGGGACTGAGGCCTGAGAGCAACATGGTGAGCCCAGCAGAGAAGAGGTCTGGTAGTGGGCACTTCTACACTTCTCTAAAGCTTGGGTACCTGCTTAAGGTGGGAAAGCAGGAACTCAGGGCAGGGGAAAGGGGGCTGTCCTCAGTGACTGATGATCACTGCAACCTCCTGGCCCAGGGTTATCAGGTTACTGAGTAAGGGGCCTAAAGGCTCTAAACCCAGTTCTGGGAATGCTTTTGCTGGGCCCCATCAAGGCCTCCAGAACCTCAGTGCAAGGGATGAAGGAAAACAGAGAGAAAAAGGTGGCAGAAAGAGAAAGACAGAATTGGTTGGGAGTTCTGGGCAGCCCATGCCTCAGTCCCCACAAGCTGATGGAACCGAACATGGGCCTGTGAGGCATGGGCCCCATCACATGGTGCTGACATAATCTGCAAAGGCCTGGGATGAGTCCCACGAGTCGCTGACCACATGGCAGGTGGCCCGGAGCCTCCGGATAGCTTCTCTGGCTGTTACTGCGTCCTGGTCCAGCCAGTTCTGGAAGAGGCGCAGGTGACCAAAGGCTCCACGGCCCCAGCGCTCCAGCCGCTTGGCGAACTCCAGAAGTCCATCTGGCTTGATGCAGTTGGAACTGGCAGGGGGAGATGGATTAGGCACCTAGGAAGCAACTAATCCCTGGTGTGCTTCTGCTCCTCTATCCCGTCCCCTTCCTCCCCTCAGCCCTCAATGTGTACCTGATATCCAGCTGACACAGAGAGGAGGACGAATCCTCTGAGAAAACATCTGCCAGTGCCAGCAGGCCAGCATTTCCTGGGGAGAAAGGGTGAAATGCTGGTAACCACCCAAGAACAGGGAATAAGGGTATCCCAGCCTAATTAAGTCCCAACACACAACTATATTCTAGCCCCCGTGTTCCCAGTGGGGAGGTCTGTGAGTTTCTAGGTCAAGGGACTGGCTGTTTCCCTTTCTCCCTCTCCATTGCCAGGGCCCTGCCCCTACCCAAGCGGTTCCCTGGCAGCCGGAGGCCCTTCAATGTGGAGTTGCCCTTCATAGCAGCAACCATCTCAGGCAGAAATTGGGCCGGGCGCTTCTCAAACAGACGACAGAAGGAGAAGGTAATCTCTGTCAAGAGAAATGAGAATAAATTCTGATGACTGCATTAGGGCTGGTGCTGCCCTTCTGCCCCAGCTGGCCTTAGCATAGGGGGTAAACATTTCATAGGGGCCTAAAAAGAAAAATTAATTTTGTCCAAGACCACAGGTAAGGCTAGAACTAAATAAAAATCCAAGCCAGAGATTAATCCTAGGTGTTCACTGTAGGGAGTTTCTCTGCGTGGACAATTCTCTGTCCACTTTCCCTCATCTGTTGGCTGCCCTCTTTGCAGGGCTGGGGATTAGACAAGTCTATGACAGCACATTTATCCCACTCTACTGTGACTTCTGTTTAGCTACTGAAAGGTAAGAACTTTTGGGTGAGGTACTCTAAAAGAATAATTTCCCATGTGTAGTACAGGAAGAGTTGAGTTTTGGATCTTTTAGAAGGCCATGCAGGCTCTATAACCATTTTATAGTTCACATAAGGCCAGGAAAAGTGGCTTACTCAGACAGTGACGGAGCCCTAAGAACTCAGGAATGCCCCAGGTTCTGGATGAAAGACTTACCTTGAAGAGTCAGATTCTGTAGCAAAAAGAGCACCTCGCTCTGACAGTCAGCCAGATTCATGTCGTGGAAGCTCAGCCTCTTCAGGGCTAGGTTGTATTCTGGGTGGGGAGCGGGGGCGGGCAGAGGCCATAGGCCTTAATAGCTTTTCCGAAGAATGCGAGCTCCCCTCCTACTCCCCTCCCTTGACCCTTCTAGCTGGTTCTTACCTTTGAGTGTCTGTAACACAAGCCCAAAATCTTGGGGAGAGGCAAAGGTGGCACTATCCAGGGACAGCTGCTGCAGAGAACCTGAGGCTTTCAGTACCGAGCAGAGCAGTGGGGCTGGCTGGGCTCCCCGTGGAAATCCCATCTCTAGCTGTTCCAGGCAGTTTTCTGGGTATAAGGAGATAAGATTCCAGCTGGCCATCTCTTTCACTCCCATAGCAGGTCCTATTCTGTCCTTAAGGGACTCACTAAAAAAGTCTCGTCTACTTGTCTTTGAGTGCATATATATTATATGCAAGGCCCTGTCCTAGGTTCTGGGAATAGAGCACTAAATAGGAAATTAAGTCCTTTATGTAGCTTTTAGTCCAGAAAGACTAGACTCCTTGGACAAGCAAATATAATAAAGCATGCAGAATGGTGGTAGTAGAGACATACAGGAATTCAGGGTACATACAGTAGGGGGATCTAATTTAGTCTAACAGTTCTGTTCTTGGTTCAGATCCCTTTTCTGCAGGCTGATCTGCCATGGTCACTCCTTACAAGGTTTATGGTCCGGGCCTGGTCCAACCCAGGGTTATCTTTAGTAAATGGATAAAGAGGGAGCAGATTCCAGATAAGCCAGGAATGAGTGGTAGTGGGCCTGAATTAGAGATCTTCCTGCTTTCCCCACACAAATGCAGCTGCACATTTGTATGGAGACAAGACACACATGCACAGTGCTTCACCTGGTATCTCTTCATCACCAATTATGTGGCTAGGGGGCCCTGCATTCCCTGGCACAGCAGGGTTGTCCCTTTGGCTGGGGTGGTCAACACGAATAGACAGGACCCGCAGTAGGGGCAGGGCTCGCACAATGGCACGTGTCAGCTCCAAGATGGGCAGTGGTGAGAACAGGTCACTGAGATGCAGGGCACGGAGGCGGCATCCAGCTTGGCCTGACAGGACCCGCAGGCTGTCCAGCAGGCGGAAGATGTTAGAGCCCAGGCCTGTGGCAGGAAAGAGTCATGCGGGAGTGTCAGCAAGGGTAACAACATTCAGAGACAGGTCCAAATATTTCTACTAATGACTACCAAATCTTGAGCTTTGGATCAGATTTAAAATCATTTGTCTCAATTATTCATCCATTGTCTTGCTTTTTTCCTCAGGTAACCAGCAAACTGATGTCTACTCAACTGGGATATGCCTTCAAGCATCAGTCAGGGCAGAGTCACAAAAGATGGGATGTGGTAGGGCAGCATGTAGCTGCCACCTATGTGATAGACCCACACAGCAGAGGCCCCTGGACTTTTACTATAGGTCATGGGAATATCTGAGAACTGAGGAGAGGGAATACTTTAAAAGATTCATTGAGTAGGAATGGGGCAGAAAAGGATAATCACGTCCCACAGAAGGGAGTTAGATCCAGGTTAGGAAAGTTGCTTAATGCCACCATGCTGATCATTCTTTGGAATCCGCTCTTATCTCCCCTTGGACTAAGGTGACTCCAACTGATTTTTTCCACTCAACTAAACCTCACCCAGCACTTAGAAAATAAGGTGGGTTTTTTTGTTGGTTTTTTTTTGCGCTAGACAGTAAGCAACTGATCTTGTTTTGCCTATATAGCCTGATAACATAATGGGAACTGGGTAAGTACTGTGGAAGTTCAAAGGATGGGTACTTAAGACCCAGCTCAGCTTACATCAATAAAGGTTTTCCAACTGAACCCTAAATAACAAAGGAGATGGGCTAAATGGAGGGAGGAGAGTAGAGTGATTGAGGCAGAGAGATTCTGGCATATGTAAGGCCTGAAGGAGAAAGTGGCAGTTCTAACAACTGAAAAAGTCAAAGGGGCTAATGCTTAAAGTATAAGGGAGTAAAATGTTCAATGATAGAGGTAAGCGGGAGTGAGAACATGAATGACCCTGTAAGGAAATTAAGGTGTATGGTGATGGAAAAGCACTGGAGTTTTTAAGTGCACAAGTGACAAATTTGCATTTTTGAGAAAAAATGCTGGGTTTCAGAGTAAACAATGGATTGTACAGTGAATATGGACTCAGGAAGAACTGTTGAAGTGAATTCAGATGAGAAGTAATAACCTGTTAAGGATTAGAGAGAGAAATAAAGATTTGAGAGAGAGATTGGAAAGATAGAACCTGATGACCAAATACATTTGGAGTAAGAAATAATCCAGGTTTCTTTTGGGGCAACTGAGTCATCTCCTGCAACATCATTGATAAGATGTTCATGGTGAGATCTAGTGATCAACTGAATAAAGTCTGTAGCTTAGAAGAACTATCTGGGCTAATGTTATAGAATGGAAGGGTCTTAGCACAGTTGGCCTTTGCCACCAAGGGAATGGATGAAATTGTCCAGGAAGTGTGTAAATTGGGAGAGCTCTGAGGAACTCTAAACATTAAGAGACAAGTAATGTCCAGACAAGAAAAAACATTTTGAGGAAACAGGAATGACTATTTCATGAGGAAGGCTGCTTAATGGCAAATGCTGTTGGGAACTAATGCGAGGACTGAAAAGCATATATTGAACTTAGCAACAAGGACGACCTTGGTGACTTAAATCTTCAGTGCAATAGTGGGTAAGCAAGCACAACTGGAGTGAGCTGTGAGAGAACACAGGTTTTCTGTGAAGGGTAGGAGAAAAGGACAGTAGTTAATAAGGGACAGAGAGAGGCGGTGGTAGATTTTGGTGGATACCTAACTGAATGCTTAAATGTTTGGGGGAGAGAGGGGAGACAATAGAGAGAAGGGAGGCAACAGTTAGTGGTTTAAAAGCATGGACTCTGGTGGTAGGCTGTGGGTTGAAATCCTGGCTCTTAACTTACTAGCCAGGTATCCTGAGCAAGTCATTTGACCTCATAAGGTTGTCAGGATTAAATTAGTTAACATAATGGGAATATTTAAAATATGCCTGACCCATACTAAGCAGTACATAAGAGCTCTTAATTCTAAGATATTTAAGAAACAGCTTTTCCTAAGTAGGTGAGAGGGTATGGGTCCAGAACACAGAAGAGTTAGTCTTAGGACAATGATCTCTTCCACTGTGGTAGAAGAAAGGATAAAAGCAGAGGTAGGAAAGTTTATAGGCTGGTTAATAAATGGAAAGAGTTTGTGTTTTCGCTCTGAAGTAGGTGAGGTGATCTGCTGAGA